ATAAAATTAACAAACATTTCTAACCCTAGATGTCACTTGGGCTTTAATACAATAGTGACTCTAAGAATTAAGAATAAATTTCTCAATTTCTATATTCAGAACTTCACTACCCACAAAGTTTCCATCTTTAGATTTCTGACTCGATTAAGTGGACTATGACCACCTAATCACTGCATTTGGACCATTAGTCCAGAACATGCATACTATCCCTGATTCAAGTACTGTGGAAAAACATACAAGTAGTCCTCAACTTACGACCACAATTGAATTCAAATTTCAAATTTTGATTATGTGACCATGGGAATGCTGCAACAGTTGTAAATGTGAAAAATTGTCATAAGTCACTTTTTTTTCAGTGATGTAACTTTGAACAAACACTAAATGAACTGTTGTAAGTTGAGGACTACCTGTAGTTGAGTATCATCATTGTAGTAGTGAGCCTCTCCACCCCAGAAATTATGAAGACTGCCCTCATGAATTTCATAAAAATATAAAGTAGAATTAGGGACAAAATAGTGCCTTATGTCACTACCTTGTACAACTGCCAAGTCAGAAACACAGCTATCAAATTCTATTTTATTATAAAGGAAAAAATTAGCAAGAAATCATGTAGGAACAACACATGCACACTCTTCTTTTTTCCTGCAGAAAATTATCTTTTTGGGACCATGGCTAGTTCTGCTCACAAACTAGGTCAGAACCCATACTGAAATAACTGATTCTCCAATAATATCTACAATGAAGATACTAACCTCTAAACCATTTTGCCTATGAAGGGGGTGCTTGTAGTACATCAATAATCGAGAAAAACCTCTGGATTTCAAGAGGGCTTTTCCAGGAGTAAGCAGACTCTTTGACATTTGGTGGTACTACTCTATATCACATAAGACTGTATTCACACTTTTTGGATCCGTTCAACCAACCACTTGTTGCTAATGTGGATCAAAAGGGCAGGAGAATGAGTGAGCATACAGTACAGAAGTTGGCTTTTATCCACATTCTCAGGTTTCAATCAAATCAAAAGCAGCCTCACACATAGTTAGAGCAAATAATGCATAAAGGCAAGATGTTTCATCCTCAATGCATCACATATCTGTCAGAGTGCTCCAAAATTAGGTTTCCTGGGACAGAATATATTTTGCAAATGTATTATTTAACAAGTATTTCCCACCATAGATAGATATGTGCTCTTGTTTAAAATGTGAAGTAACACTGGCCTATGAAGCTCAATAAAAGTCAAAATAGCCCAATTCTCCTATCTCCCTGAAATAACTGGTTTATTTTCTCTACATGAAGGCACTGGTTTTCTCCTTCCTATTTGTCCCTTTAATTCAACTCTTGTTCCCAAAGACAAACATACTTTCTAAATGCAATGCAGAGTATATTTAAAATATTTTCAGATCACTCGTCATATTTACTGCACTATTTTAAACCTGCATTTATTATGAAATGTATGTTCACTACAGAAACAGTAGCATTCAAAATAATGATCTGTAATGGCAGGTGGGAATGACCTTGGGAGGCAGTGGGAGGGCCACAGCCAGGGGAATTGTTGGATAAGAGTTAGCTTAGCCTGCAAAAAGAATGTGGATATGGCATACGTCTCAGAAGGAACCATTCCTAGTTTATTGGGATGTAAAGGCAACAGGGGAGAAACAAAATTTCAAACTTGCAAGATTTTAATATAACTTTAAATAAAGTACAATTAGTTCATCTGGGCATACTTTCTGTTCAGACTACCTCAACAAAGCTGACATAATCCTGTTCAGGGATTGTTAAAAGATAAAATAAAATTTAGTATTTAGCTGTTATAAATAATAAATGTTAAAGCATTTGAAAGTGTGCCAGTACAACTGAAGTCTTGAGGCTTATTTCATTTAGCACATTTCTTCTTCCACCCTATCCATTAGTAGTAACAGTAAGAAGATATAAATCTGGTCCCTTCTCTTCCATCTCCATATAGTTGATCCACTGGGTGGCACAGACCAGAGTATTAGTTTCCAACTGTCAATAACTGTGGAAATCAACAATATGTTTCCCATCACCAGTAAAACCTTCATCTTGATTATTCAGTTGATAGCAAAAGTGAAAATGATTCAGGTGACTGCCCTTTTGAAACTGAGGCCATATGCAGTTCATCTATTGCCTACTTAGGTTTTAAAATTGGAGTAAGCAACCTGCAACATACCAGAAATTGCTGAACCAGAACTCACCATCCTTCATCAAGAGCCGAGGTGATGTAGTGGTTAGAGTGCAGTACTGCAAGCTACTTCTGCTGCCTGCCTGCCTGCCTGCCTGCCTGCCTGCCTGCCTGCCATTTGGCAGTTCAAAGCTCACCAGGCTCAAGATTGACTCAGCCTTCCATTCTTCCGAGGTGGGTAAAATGAGGACCCAAATTGTTAGGAGCAATATCCTGACTCTGTAAACTGCTTAGAGAGGGCTGTAAAGCATCGTAAAGCGGTATCTAAGTCTAAGTGCTATTGCTATTGCTCACTGGAAAAAGTAGCTCAGCACAAATGAATGATCATACATTGCCAATACAGAACTTACATATATGACCAGCAACCTATGTACATTTACTATTTGAGCACAGTATGTAGATTTATAGGTGGAAATCCATTAAGCATTTGAATATCCCTCTACATCAGTGGGTCTCAACCTTCCTAATGCCACGACCCTTTAATACAGTTCCTCATGTTGTGGTGACCCCCAACCATAAAATTATTCCTAAAACCATTGAAAATTTGTGTTTTCCTATGGTTTTAGGCGACCCCTGTGAAAGGGTTGCTCGACCCCCAAAGGGGTCCCGACCCACAGGTTGAGAACCACTGCTCTACATTAATGATGGGATGGGATGAGAAGATACTGGAATACTAAATTACTAATTACTGACATCCAATAATTGAGGAGTTGATCATCCTTGATGAATGTTTTTTATTATTATTATCAGATACATCAGGCTTTCATCAACACTATCTACTTAAATTTAAAAATGCTCTTAATTTCATAAGTATTTTATATTGGTATGCTGCAAGTTTTTCAAACAGTTCTAGTATTCTGTAACAACTTAATGGGACACTGTGAAGACTAAAAGCAAAAAAAGACTATTCATTTAAAGGCATCAAGTCTTACATCACTAGAATTTTGATCATGGGTTCCTGGGCTTTTTTTTTTTTTTCTTTTCAAACTGGTTTTGCTGCCTGAAAGAATTTGAAAACTCTTGGTATACAGCATAAAACAGCCTGTTAATTTACAGATAATTTGCACAATTCCTTTCCCATTCTCCATCATGGCTGGGGCTATCAAAAATCCAAACTATTCAGCATATCAAATTGTTTCCCTCAGAATACTATTGCTTGAGAAACTGAAGCTTTCAGAATCAGAACTACATTTTTCTTGATTTCTTGCTTGTATTAAACTCTGTACAACTCATGTGGAACTTGAAAGCTTATAGAAATACGAAAAAGTCTGTGAAAACATTTGAAATAGCTGCAAATTGTATAGGACTATAATCTATAATTTGATTCCAGGTCCATGTAAATACTATTAATAGAAAAAGACATTTCAGGTAAACAAACAGCACTGAAAAACAGCTGGCATGACTTATAATTCACTGAGCCCACATTCACTACTGTTGTTGAGAAAGGCATCTGAAGCCTTAGAATAATGTTGTCATAAAATGACAATCAGGTGTTGGTTTGAAAGTCCCTGCAAAGTCACCAACAAGGTTAGATTATAAGAGGGCTTTATTAACTATTCACTGAAAGGTTAAAAGGCACATGACCTTGTAAAACTTTGCAAACTTTAATTATTTTTTCCAGATTTTTAGAAGCCCATTTATAGGCACTCTTCTATTTTTTAAAAAGCTATACATATTGGTTACCCATATTGGAACTATTTTTACAACCCAGGTCTGGGTAATGAATCATATTCTGATCAATGAGATTTCTGCAGTCCTAGAGGTGTGGTGGCTCAGTGGCTTAAAAGATGCTAGAAACGATTTCTGCTCTGGCAATTCAAGTACTAGCACGGCATGCCAGAGTGAACTCCCATCATTTGCTTCAGGTTCTGCCCACCCTAGCAGTTTGAAAGCATGCAACATGTAAGTAGATAAGATAGGTACCACTGTGGTGGGAAACAGCGTTTTGTGCTTGACCTGCCCCGATGCAATGCCCAAGTACAAGGTGACACTGATGGTGAGACAAGGCCTTGGGTGATGCCGCAGGACGCCACTTGTCTTTCTGGTGCGGAGCTAATTCAACCCATATGGTACATCCTGGATAAGCATGTGAATGTGAACTAAATGGACTAGCACTGTTCAACAGCCAAATAACTACTATGAACTAACATTGTAGTCTCCTGGCTAATTGTACCATCACCATATGCTAAATAAATAATTTGCAGTTCTTTGAGAAAAAAAGTTATTGAACCTCAAGTAGCTAGAATGAGCAATAAACCCATTGCCAAGGCTTGCCTTCTGTTAATTCACTGTCAAGTAGTTGGTGTAATAAGTTTGTTATTCCTCCCAGGACTGATCCCAACAAAAATAGCTCCAGTAGAATTCACAGAGCACTATAGAGTGCAAAGAAGTCCAGAGCAATGGGTAAGAATCTGCAACACATTTTTTATTGCCTTATACTTTTTCCCACAAACCAAACAAAAATTGGCTCGGTATGTTTAATAAAGAAATAATACAGTATACCTTTATTTAATTTTGACAGGGCTTAAATGAAGCTCAGATCACTATAATTCACTATACCATAGGTTTCAGATAGTTTAAAGTTCAAAAATGTGGTCCCATCATTATATTTCCTGCAATTTAATATATAACTTGTACAAATGTTTTCAAATTTATTCATGTAAACTACATTTTAATTTTATAAAATATGTATAATACAATTTTATTGTAATTTTTGCAGTAAAATTTACTGTAATTATGTTATTATATCACAAGCCATCTTTAGGGAGAATATATCTCCATTCAAACTTTCATATCATACCTGCATGTCCACCAATGCTTGCTTTCTGTACAAAGCCACATAATTCACTTTCTCACTTTTTCATTCTAAAACATTTGCACTAGTTGCTACTTATTTCTTCACCATGATGAATGGCTTTTACTGCTCTCTCCATTTCTTTTGCTGCAAATGAATAGTGCAAAACATGTAATATCTATGTGCCAGCTCCAAAATACAACATAAATTTTAACCAAGTTATCAAATGGGAATGATTTTCCAAGACTATCTGGAAATATTTAATTAGCAAATTCAATATTATTTGTTCATCTGTAGATAGAATTATATGCTTTTAATTTTAAACATTAAAACTTTAAACGTTAAAACCAGCTAGTTTTCAGCAAACTCAAATGACGCTACCCTTAGTGTGGCAAAGTTTTGGAGTTTCCAGACTTCAAGTAGCAGCAGGAGCCGAAGTAAGCCAATGGCCTTGTAAGAGAACAAACCTGCATCCTGTGGCTACTATGTATCAAAGGACAAATGGCAGTAGACATTTTGGTTTCTTTTTTGACATGTTTCTCACATTCTATCATGGATGTCTTGCTAGGTATTATATCACTAGTTGACAGCAGCCTTGATTTTATCTCATCTGTGTTTCTGAAGATTTGGTGGAAAACTAAGACTGGACTGATTGATCTGCAGAGCTTGATGCTGGTGGGTTTTGTTTTTTTTTAAAGAAATTGTTAGAAAAAAACCAGTTATTCCTCCACTTTTGGGGTGGGAGATGGGATGCTTGACTGATTTGCAGGGCAGTGTTTTCCTCTGACCTGCCAGATGAGTAGAAGGGATTGGAGGAAAAAGGGGAGGGGGGGAGAGCATATGGTTGAAGAATAAGTAATGAAGACTGGCCAGTGTTGGTCAGAAGCACTCAAGTCCTTGGGCTAGACATGGGACCTTAAAATTGGGGGAGGAGAAGGTGAGACCTGGAAGTGATAAATTCTGTAAAAAGAGCAAGCAGAGATATCATGATGGTGATGCCAAGGGAAGCTGTGGCAGGTGTCAATCCTCCCAGATAGCTCAGACAGGAAACATGTCTAAATGAACTAATTCTACTTTATTGTAAGGTTAAATTAACATAAACTTGCAAGTCTGAAGGTACAAATTTCCTGCCCACTACTTTTAACTGCCCGAACAATTAGGACAAGTCCTAAATTTCTTCCTCTGACCATTAATCCACTAGGGGATTCTGTCTGATTGTTTAATCCTAGACAGGTTTATTTCCCCTCGTCCCTCCCCTCAGGCCATTCATACATTCCATTACAGTAAGAGATAAAAGGGACAGGGAATGCCATTCTTAGTATGGCAGCCTCTGGGTTTAGTATTGATGCCACATTCCACACCCTTAAGGCCTAATTAGAGTTTCAGTACCTTTGAATGAAGCCAGGTGGGTCTGTAATAAAGCCTCTTTATGTAATCATGGATGAGACAGCCAATCTGGAATGTATGACCAAGACCTCTTGGTGATGTGTTTGTAGAAACCAGAGCAGAGGTGATGGTGTGGACAGTAGTCCATGAGCTCTGGTAGTTTCCAGGATGTGCTGCTTTACAGATAAGCAGATGTGAAGCCATGTTTGTGAGGTTGGGCTGTGGGAATCAGATAGGCCTGCTGCTTGTATTCTCACCTGCCTGCTGCTTGATTTTGTAGCCAAATTGCGATTGAGTTCTCTGGATTATGGTATTAGGGGACTTCAATCTGTCTTTGCCTGGCCCAGAGCTGGAATCAGCTCAGAAATTCATGATCAACATGACCCTGACCTAGATTATTGATCATCTAATGCATAGTGAGGTTATATTACATCTGATTTTTATCTCAAGGCAGCAGCACATAATCTGGAGTTCAGGATGCTGTTACTGTCCTTCGTTGCAGAGAGGTCTATTAACCTTGGGAGTTTTTTCTGGATGTCCCAATCCCTGCTACAAGGAGGACGGACCTATTCATTTGATCCATTCCAGGCACCTAATAAACCAAATGGGGTTCTTAAAACTCTGGTGCATAGTTCATTGTCGCTCCCGGAAGGACTGGAGTATCCCTTATACAGTCACTATGAATATTATGCCAAGCATCTAATGGATAAAATGCTTTGATCTGCTTGGAGTTAGACTTCAACTATGCTGATCTTATGGAAATGACTGGGGTCCTGTTTTGCCCCGTTATCTGTGTGGAGTATGATCCCGTTACACCCAAGATAATGGACTGGTCTTTGATATTAAGAGATTGCTTGGATGCTAAAGCTTTATCAAATATTTTTCCAATAAATACAGTGGAGCAAAAAAGTATTTAGTCAGCCACCAATTGTGCAAGTTCTTCCACTTAAAAAGATGAGAGAGGCCTGTAATTGACATCATAGGTAGACCTCAACTATGAGACAAAATGAGAAAACAAATCCAGACAATCACATTGTCTGATTTGCAAAGAATTTATTTGCAAATTATGGTGGAAAATAAGTATTTGGTCACCTACAAACAAACAAGATTTCTGGCTCTCACAGACCTGTAACTTCTTCTTTAAGAGGCTCCTCTGTCCTCCACTCATTACCTGTATTAATGGCACCTGTTTGAACTTGTTATAGTATAAAAGACACCTGTCCACAACCTCAAATAGTCACACTCCAAACTCCACTATGGTGAAGACCAAAGAGCTATCGAAGGACACCAGAAACAAAATTGTAGACCTGCACCAGGCTGGGAAGACTGAATCTGCAATAGGCAAGCAGTTTGGTGTGAAGAAATCAACTGTGGGAGCAATAATTAGAAAATTGAAGACATACAAGACCATTGATAATCTCCCTCGATCTGGGGCTCCATGCAAGATCTCATCCCGTGGGGTCAAAATGATCACAAGAACGGTGAGCAAAAATCCCAGAACCACACGGGGGGACCTAGTGAATGACCTGCAGAGAGCTGGGACCAACGTAACAAAGGCTACCATCATTAACACACTACGCCGCCAGGGACTCAGATCCTGCAGTGCCAGACGTGTCCCCCTGCTTAAGCCAGTACATGTCCGGGCCCGTCTGAAGTTTGCTAAAGAGCATTTGGATGATCCAGATGAGGATTGGGAGAATGTCATATGGTCAGATGAAACCAAAGTAGAACTGTTTGGTAGAAACACAACTCGTCGTGTTTGGAGGAGAGAGAATGCTGAGTTGCATCCAAAGAACACCATACCTACTGTGAAGCTTGGGGGTGGCAACATCATGCTTTGGGGCTGTTTCTCTGCAAAGGGACCAGGACGACTGATCTGTGTACAGGAAAGAATGAATGGGGCCATGTATCATGAGATTTTGAGTGCAAACCTCCTTCCATCAGCAAGGGCATTGAAGATGAAACGTGGCTGGGTCTTTCAGCATGACAATGATCCCAAACACACCGCCCGGGCAACAAAGGAGTGGCTTCGTAAGAAGCATTTCAAGGTCCTGGAGTGGCCTAGCCAGTCTCCAGATCTCAACCCCATAGAAAACCTTTGGAGGGAGTTGAAAGTCCGTGTTGCCCAGCGACAGCCCCAAAACATCACTGCTCTAGAGGAGATCTGCATGGAGGAATGGGCCAACATACCAGCAACAGTGTGTGCCAACCTTGTGAAGACTTACAGAAAACGTTTGACCTCTGTCATTGCCAACAAAGGATATATAACAAAGTATTGAGATGAACTTTTGATATTGACCAAATACTTATTTTCCACCATAATTTGCAAATAAATTCTTTCCAAATCAGACAATGTGATTGTCTGGATTTGTTTTCTCATTTTGTCTCATAGTTGAGGTCTACCTATGATGTCAATTACAGGCCTCTCTCATCTTTTTAAGTGGGAGAACTTGCACAATTGGTGGCTGACTAAATACATTTTTGCCCCACTGTAGATATTGTATGATTGCATGTCCAGCCCTCAGTAATCCTCTGGTACTTCACCCATTCTCCAGCAGTTTTCCAAGATAATGGCCAGAGGCTTTGCAAATCTACAATGCATTTCTTAAAACCTTAAGATGTAATTTATTTGAACTCAGAGAAGTGGATGTTTTGCATGGTCAATAATATATTTCCCCTGCTTCCATCAAACTTGGTAGTAAAATATTTTTTTTTCAACCAGCTGATCACAACCGTCTTGAGGGAAAGCATCCTCTTCTCAGAGAAGACTAAGCAAAAACAGGAGTTGACTTATTGGGTTTATTTTGGGTTAGTTGGTTAGCTGTTAACCTTTTGCCATATTTGAATGTGTCTGAATAAATATTTTTTGTTGTATTTAAATAATCTTTGTTAATGTAACTCGAATAAAGCTTTCCAGATACTTTATCTGGATAACTTACATATATTCTTCCTTGATTTTTACTAACCTTTAATGCATCCATAGGGACTTCCTCTGTTCCATTGTTTTTACTTTTAAGTGTCTTCTTTTATAAGAACTTCTATCCTTCTTAAGCTTCCTTTTTGTGTTAATATCTTTTGTCATAAAATCTATATACTGCTAGAATTCTTGTGTAATCTTTAACTGGCAGAAACAGTGCATCCTAGGGCAACAATGTTTGAACCAACGTACTTCAAATATGGTAATTTACAGAAAGTGTCCAAAATCTGGATGGGATTGAAATTTGGCAAATTTGTGGTCACATGATTGCTGTTGTGTAGACCTGTCTTAGCCTTCCAGAGGCCAGATAAACCAGCTGTCCAGATAAACCACCTATTCCTTCGGTCAGCTATTCCTATCTAACTCTCTCAGTAGATAGGTCCAACCGTTCAAACCAGCAAGAGGTTGGAAGCTGCTTCCACCGCTTTTCTCTTCTTAGTCTTTCTGTTTAGATAAGGAAATATCTCTGGAACAATGACCCAATGTGTTACAAGTTGTCTAACTTTACTTATAATTGCTGCAAATTAATTAAAAATGTTCCTTAAAGTATGTAATTGACTACAGTCAGTTTTAATCTCCCTATACGATTTCCAACAGCACAAGAGTATCCCCCCCATTACTTAAATCTACATCATCCCTATTCATTAGGTTTAATTAGAATAGCGGACCCCTTTGTGCTTGTATCTGAAAGTATAAGCCATATTCCAAAGAAATGAGGAAGTTCTGGAAAGATCATGTTGGTAACTTTCTCCAAATAGTTGGATTAATGATAGCTCCCACCCACCCACCTTTACTATATGCTTCTTTAAAATACTAGCAATTTGCTTCTGAAAACTATTATTCATATCATCTTAGTTGGATGGCTTAGTTATGGTATTGACATATGGTATTGCTCTTATTTGTCCTCCATTTATTTTAATCCAGATACTCTTGACAATATTCTCAGTTAAATTTACTTTCTATATAGTTATGGATATTTAATGCAACACATTTCTGTAACATCAAATCACAAAATGATTCTAATGTTTTTGCTCATTTTTAATAAGTTATACTCATCTACTATACAGTATTGAAAATTTAAAAGCCATTTCCTAAGAATTTAAGTAGATCTTTTAAATTATATTTGCTTTCTTTTAATACTTCAGACCTATCTGATTATGAGCAGCTTACTGGTAGTTGCAAGATGTTGGCAATACTTAAAGACAATTGGGTACAGACTTAAATATTGTAGTGAGAACGTTTCCACTGAGCCTAGAAAATGCTAAATGAAAGACTCTTTATCTGCATGGTTCTGACATAGCCATTTACTACGTCTAGTCTCATGTATCCAAAATAAAGCTATAAAGTTGAAGAGGCCCTCTCAATTTGTCTCTCAATTTACTTTTGTTAATGCATAAATCCTTAAATTTTTAATTCTAGATTTCCCCTCCAACCTTTACAGGGTTCAGTTTAAAACCCTTGTGATCAAATCCAGCATGCTTTTGTGAATGCATAAATCAATGCTTGTGATATGCAATCAATCTGACACAAACAATCCATTACCAGGCAATGTAGATTATGATCCCTCAAACCAAATAAAAATATAGACAAAATATGAAAATATATTTTAGAAGTTGCAAATATTAAGAGATACCAAATGCAAGCCTTACAAAAAACAACAACTGTGCAGGACTTTCAGGTAGGGCAATGGCAAGCTAAGACTCCATGAGGGAGGTTCTTAAAGATATCGATAGAGAGATAGACAGACAGACAGACAGGAAAAATATCTCTGGATTAGCTGAGATGACCTTACTTCGTCAATCTCACTTTCTAAATACTTTTGGATTTACAATTATTTCCAAGTTAAAAGTAGTCATCTAAGTAATGTTTGAAAAACTACCTGGTGAAGAAAAGTTCATCTCTAAATAGAAGAAAAAGAAATTTAGAGAAAAAATATAAAATAAAAGCCAAAAAGTTAAATAAGAATTTAATTCAAGAAAATTTTAAATGAATTAAGGGACAAGAAAAAAATTGGAATACTGGAATTTTTGCTAAGATTTTTAAAATAACTTTTGCTAAGGTTTTTGAATTTTAAAATTAAATTATTAATGAAAACAGAAGAAGATACATCTAGAGTGCAGATGGTTGAAGACAAGGAATGAATTCAATGAAACACAGGTAAGAGCTGCTATTAATGCCTACCTCATGGTGATTTGGGCAGCGAAGTATATGTACTTTTCCACACTAATTGCATCTGCAGATAATCGGCCAGCAACCCTCTTTAATCTCCTCCTGGGGAAGGAGATACAGAAGTCTACATGAAAGATCGTGTTGAGGAATCTGATTTTCTGAAAGACAAAATTGCTCAAATTCGTCCCCATTTAGGTGCTAGCATGGTTGCTGATCTGGTGGAGATACCTGGGGTAGCTTCTTGCCCAGTTATCTGGGAACAGTTTGACCCTGTTGCTACTGAGGAAATTGACCTAGGGAGTATGTGTGCAACTATTTGTGTTTTAAATCCATTCTCCTGCTAGCTTGTGAAAGTATCCTGGAAACTGATGATTAATGGTTCCCTATGGGAGGGGTGATGCCCCAGCATTTAAGGTGGTTGCCCTTTTCTTAAGAAGTCATCATGAGATTCAACCCTATTGGATAATTTTCGTCCTGTCTCCAATCTTTCTTTTCTGGGGAAGGTTTGTTTGTTTGTGTTTCATGTTTCTAAACTGCCGTTTCCATCAAGGAGCTTGTTGAGAAAATGGCTGTGTGGCAATTCCAGAGATTCCTGGATAAAATGGATTTCTTTCCAGTCAGGGTTCAGGCCTGGACATTGGATGGTAACATTGATTGTGCTTTTTGCTAATCTCTAGCGAGAGCAGGATGCAGTAGTACTTTAATCTTCATTGTACTTGATCTCTTAGCAGCCTTTGATGCAATTAACCATAGTATCTTTCTGGCGTTGCTTTGGGGGTTAGGATTGGGTTGTTCTGATCATTTCCTTCCTTTATGGTCATTCTCAGTCAGTGTTGATCCGAAGTGAGAAGTCTAGCCCTCATCCTCTACCAACAATCACTGCTCATAGTCACTCACATCCTTGTCACCTCCCATCTTCACTATTGCAATTCTCTCTACATAGGGCTGCCCTTGAAAAGTATATGGAAGATTCAATTGGTTCAAAATGCGGTGGCCACCGCATGGTTTTGTGCAGGTCTACATGTGCAGGTTGTCTCTCTTGTGGGAACTGCATTGACTGCTGATTTGCTTCCGGATCCTATTCAAGGTGCTGATTTTCACCTTTAAAGCTTTATATGGCTTGGTACTAGGATATCTGAAGGATTGTCTTTTCCTAGTCACATCTACTCGACCCATTAGAGTGGGGAAGCAGAGAGTGCTACAGGTCCCCTCTTCTAAAAAGGTTCCTCTAGTGGGACCAAGAAGGGCCTTAGCCATGGTAGCTCCCTCCCTGTGGAACACCATCTCTGTGGAAATAATATTGATTTGTATTTTATTGTAAGGTCCTGAAGACCTGGTTTTGCCAATGAGCCTGGGGACTGTAGGGTGGGATGGAGCCCATCAAATGTCTTATATGATTGATTGTTGTCATCAGGTGGGGTGAAGGCTTATTGAGAATAGAATAGAATAGGAACAGAACAGAACATTTGTGGGAACATAAATTGTTTAATCTATCATAAAAGAGGTAACTAGTTGAAATTTGAGCAGGGTGGATAAAAATCAATGATTTTTTTAAAAAAAATCAGATTTTTTTTATTTAAATTGGATTTTTTTATTTTTATCGAATTTATTTTAATAAAAAACTTTTGGGGTAAAAATTTATCATAAAATAGTTTTCTATTTAAGATACATGAATAATTTAGTTTATTCAGCATGAAATGGAGCTTAGTTATGTAGCATGAGGCTGTATATTCTGCAACACTGGGACTATCGGTGAGTCAACAGTGGGTCAAAGGAGTAGCAGAGATGACAGTTGCTCTTTAAAAATTATGATTTAAATCGAGTTGATTTAAATCAAGCCTTTTTACTAGTGATTTAAATCATGATTTAAATTGTGATTTAAATCAACTCGATTTAAATCAAATCCACCCTGAATTTGAGTACTAAGAAATGAAGAAATCTGAAAATCTATAGAAACAATATTATAGGGGACTGAGTTCCAGACAGGAAAAAGAGACAAACCTTTTTTTTTAAAAAAAGAAAATCTTGGATTTGAAAGAGAAAGAGTAAAACTTACAAAATGACAGGTAAATTATGACATATGAGACATTTCAAAGGCTTTTTTCACCATATATTACTTAGCTAATTCAAAAAGAGTTAAAATACAAAATGCCAAAATATTTAAATGAAAGACAAAAAATAAAAACCACAACAAAGAAAACAAAAGACTAACATATATTTCAAGAATTGGGAGAGAAATTGGGAGAGAAACTGACAGCAATAATTGCTGCCTCTACCAATACATTTCTTGAAGAAGATCCTAGAGAGGAAACAAAAGATGAGAAAGAATAATGTGGAAGAATTTACAGACCAGCAGGATAAAGAGATGAACCAAATTACAGCTGATATAGAAACACTGGAAAATACAGAAATTGTGGATTATGAGATAGAAAAATGACCCGGCAAAGATTTATTAATGGATTTTTTCAAGAGTTTCTAAAGTTTTAAAGAAATCTTTGAGTGAAAGGAAGAAAGCTTGAATGGAAATGCTGCCTACACTATGATGGAGAAAGATAGACCTTTACAGGAAGAAGTGCCACATAGCCAGAAATTACTCTTAACATTGGCTATCTTTGTCAATAAACCAGGCAATTATTTTAGCCTGGTTGGGGCCTTGTGGCTCAGCAGACTAAAAGCATTGTGATTAACACCAGCTGTCTGCAATTACTGTAAGTTCGAATCTCACCAGGCTCAAGGTTGACTCAGCCTTCCATCCTTTCTAAGGTAGGTAAAATGAGGACCCAGTTTGTGGGGGCAATAAGCTGACTTTGTATAAATATACAAAAGTATGAAGGCTATTGCTTAACACATTGTAAGCCGCCCTGAGTCTCCAGAGAAGGGTGGCATATAAATCAAATAAAAATTTTTAAAAAGCCACTAATAAAATCATTTTTTATTGTTTTAGATCACCTAGGATATAGACACTTAATTTATTATTTTGGATTATAGAGATATTAAGAGGCAGTTTATTAATACTGCAGGATTGTACCAGATCAATTTCATAATTGTTTTATCCACTTTAAAAATAATTTTGTAATTAAAAAGCATTTGATAATGAACAAATTTCAGCAGTATAATCTGGGGATGTCATGGGGGTGGGACACTAAGTAACCGCTTGCAAACTACTGGTTGCCCACCTCCAATTTAATGTATTATCCTTATATACACACTCCAGCTTTATGGTTTGTAAACTGTTGAAATGAAATAATTAGAAACCATAGTTGAATAAAGTATTAATTTCTTTTACTGTTCCCTATTGAAACATGCCTAATTGGCTTTAAGAACTATATTACATTTAAAAAAAAAAGGAAATACTATTTTATAATTTTTTTCAGGGTTTAGTATTTCTGTATAAAGCACAGTCCTTTGCAAAATTTCCATTTCTGTCATGCAATAAAAAGGTAGCACATTTCAGAACTGGAACACACAGCATCAACTAAATTTCCCGCACATTTTTTTTCTGCATTGACTTTGAAATCAATGCAACTTCAAACACAGAAAACTGCCATGTATTTATCAGAAAATACATGTTTTCAAGCAAAATTCGAAATAGCAGCTGTCATGTTTTTATAATTTTGCTGGATAATAGTTGCATAGTTCTTTTTATGCATAGAAAAAATGGGATCCCAAGTTTCCAAAAACTAAACTGAAAGTTATCATCAACTTACGTGGGCATATCAAATTCTAAATATGGGAAGAACTGTTCTGAATTTGATTATCTCATTATCCTACCATCCTTCTCTGTTTCTTTCTCTTGATGCAAACTTTGATTCCTTTGTATCTTTATTCTGAAAGGCTTCTACTGAACACATCAATGTTTCTTTTGTACCAGGTAAAAATGGCATTTTTGGTAGTGAGCAGTAGCAGAAATGCTATTAAAATAGATCTATTCTGTCTCTCATATCAAAAGAAAGATTTTAAATTATTATAGCATACAGCTCTGTAACTGAAATAGACATACATTTTTAAAAATACATGTAAGAATTGGTTCTTTTAAAAGGATGAGGAAATCAGAAATATGAAAGACATTTATTCAGGGCAAAGAACAATGAGGAGAGATAAGACGATGGTGGATACCAAAAGCAAAAAAGTATATAAAAGTTAGTGAAGCCTAAAAACTGAAAAGAATAAAAAAAACAGAACATTTATAGATATAATGCAAGCTATATTTTTGAGTAGATTTTATTAGGGCTGTGCAGAGGTACTTTTCTCATACTGTGGATGAATTTACCAGATGGTATGATTTTACCTGGAGTTTGTTCTGAAGATATTTCAGAAACAAGCCCCAAATGGCTGTAAGGGTCAAAACATTTTTAAAAAATTATTCCTGGAAACCTATTAGCAACTATTGCAATACATACAGTATCAGTGTAAAGATGGATGAAGCAGCTATTACTGGAGTAAAGGCAGCTGCATTTTGCACCAAAAGTGAAATTCCTCCAGTTTCCAACTTCTGAAAATTCTCTGGCTTCCAATTGCCCAGCCAGGAGAAATCATAAATCAGGAGGAATTTCAGAGGAAGTTATACTGTAATTGGGACAGATAAAGAACTAGATGTTTTTGAACAAGTAGTAACCCCAATATTTCATTACAGTGCGTTTAATCCCCTTAAGGTGTGCCCACAGCTCTAGACACTTGGAGGCAAGATAGAATTAGGCATCCCTGCTATACTGATGCTTCCTCACCGCAACCTGTTATATGATCTTTCCAAAGAGGTTCATGTAGATATTAAAATGTAGGATATATAGAATTTCTCTATCTGACAAATTTCTCAATTGTGAGATTCCAAATGGAAGGGTTTATTGTACCAACCTATCCTTCCCTGCCATCAGATATTTGAATCTTCTGGTCAGAATTATTTTCACTGTAAAGTAATGCTTTAATCCAAAATCTTCATATGCAATAAAAAGGAAACAATGACTAGCAGCGAATGCGGTTTAGAGATCAAGAAGGACCAGAAAAGATGCAGTTCCCAGATCTAGGTTTCCAAAATATATAATCTACCAGTGATCAATTCTACTTTGTTCTATGGCTAGGACTGAATCCTGACTGAAAAGGATCCAATTATCTATTTCTTAAGAGCCCTTTAAAGATAAAACTATGCCACCTTCTCAAAAACTTTCTCCAAAAAGAGTGGGAATCACTGTCAATTATTCAAACTACCTGCATCTAGGGAAAGTCTCTTCAAGAGGGTATACTAAAGCCTAAAGGCATTACAAGAAGTATTCAGTTTACAATATAATTGCAACCTGATATAATTGGATAAAATCCCACACTTCCAAAATGTCATCATACAAAACCTCCCCTTTTGTTTATGTATGTCATTTGTGATTCTGCCTAAATTAGGTGCAATTCATTTATTTTTAATGTGTTTAATTATTTCCTTTAAAATTACTTAAATGCATTACTTATTGGCAGAAAAAACAGAATGTATTTTATGTATGTATGTATGTATGTATGTATGTATATCACATACACATAAAGCTATAAAGGAAAAATAGACTTCACAGACAATAGACAAATTGGAATACTTAATGCTTATTTTCCAACTAGCTGGATACCCGTGCTTCGCTATGAAACTATGTGATGGAGCTTGATAAATCGTCACAGCTTGACAATTAATGTGTAGTTATGATTGGCCTCTCCTCTCCCCTTCTCCCTCAGCCTTGCCCTACAGAAGCCTCCCCTATCCTATCCCAATTGCTGCTGTGAAAGTAAAACTGTAAGTGAAACTCCTCTCCTCTGCTTGTGTTTTGCATTTGGAACAGATTTCTTTTCAGGTGGGGAGGGGGAGTAGAACTCCTTAGCATCAGATTAAACATTAAGTGTAAAATAAGTAAAGATCTTGGAGTGTACTTATTGTATCTTTCTACTCTAGGTTAGATAGGGTAGGCACATTTCTAGTCCTTTCCTGTAAACATTGCCATTTTATGGGAGCTAGGAGGCATGTCTTTTTTGTGGCAGCTTGTGCCCTATGCAGCACATTCTCCTCTTAAATTTGGCAGGCCTCAACTTTTCTAGTCTTCCATAAAGCACTGAAGATCTGACTTGTTCCCCAAGCACTGGGGTAAGATAAGGTGACTGCATATCAGAAGCTTAATATGGCACCAGGTTTCTTGTTTTAATAGTTTTAATATGGTTTTTGTATTATTTTAATTTTAATTGGGAGATACATCAAAATTGGATGGGCAGCTATTTACAATGAATCAGAGTTTCCCAACCTTTCCAGTTTTGCTGATTGGGGGGGGGGGAGAGAGGAGATGGGTCCGCATGAATGGCGGACACATGCACAACTCCATTTGCGCAAGCGGCAGGTCTGCCCATCCACCACTTCCACAGCCCGTTTTCCAACAGTTTAAGGCCAAGTAGTGGCCCGTGGTCCAGGGGTTGGAGACCTCTGCAGTAAATGATTTAAATGAGTATTTCAATAGATGCAATGCTATTTCTAATGCTAATTTTATATTCAAAAGTTTAAAAATCTTTTAAAATTTGAGCATACTAAAAATAATTTTTGGATCTAATTCATAGGCTTCAAATATTATGCAGAAAATTTTGAAAGAAAACACAGAAAATAGGCATCCATTAGAAATTAAGGAACAACAAAAATGAGCATAGATAAACAATAAAAAGCTTAGTTTTTCAATAGTGTCTTTATTTTTATATATTAAAATATGGAAATAATTATTGAGCAAAATAGAATTATTTTCAAATTATACATTACTTTCTACAAATAACATATATGGCATTAAAATAAAAAATAATTATATACATACCACTGTGATACTTGATCTAATTATTATTTTATTATGCACGTTAATAACCATAGTGAAGATTTAACCTATGCACATTACCTGTGAATCTCTAATAAATACACCAGTACACTCTAATTTTTTTTCAGCCTTCATTTGTCTACATAGGAATATTTTTTTTTCCATACAAAACATATTAAATAACTCGAGAATAATGAGAAGTAAACTGAATTATTTCTGAATAAAAATGTAGATGACATTTTTAGGGGGTATAAAGTGAATCATCCAACAAAGATGGGAACACTTAAGTCAGAGCCATAAGAATCAGCATAAACTGGAGTATGCTGCAGAAAAGAGAATATAGGAGAACAGCAGACATGAAAAAGTATTTAAATTAAACAAGGGAAGACATGGAAAACGAATGTTAAAAACTGTCATTAAAAAAAGAAGCTTGCAGAAGACAGCAACTATCCTCACAGTGAGTTAAAGGGAGATTGATGAAAGAGCAAGGAACCAATTGTCACTGGAGTCCTGAAATATCCATGGGATTATTTTATGCTATGTCATAGGAGACACTGTCAGTCTTATGTAGCAGACTGGCATTCTATTCCTTACACTGTCATTTCATCCTCAACACTTCGATCAGAATATCAGTGTATTTCAAATGTCATTCCATCAACGTACACCATCATTTTTATTTTTTATTCTAGTCATGCTGTCTATCCTTCCACCTGTTGTTCTTTCTAAAGATACACCTGTGATACTTCTATATATTGTCATCGTTCTATTATACAATAATATTTTGTGAATATTTTAGCTTAGCTAGCATCATTTCTCATTCACCCCTACCTTTTATATTTCCATTCCAAGCTTAACCATATATTTGATTTCTAGTCAAGCTGCCCATCCACTTTTTTATATTACTTCAGTCACCCGTTAACTCACTGAACAGTCTTCTGAAAACTGAAAAGAAATCAGCATAATTAACAAATGTTAGCAATAAAAGTGAAATACAGGAAGTCTTCGTTTTATGACCACAATTCAGCCCAAAATTTCTGTTGTTAAATGAGACATTTGTTAAGTGAGTTTTGCCCCATTTTACGATCTTCCTTGCCATAACTGTTAACTGAATTACTGCAATTGATAAGTTAGTAACCCGGCTGTTAAATGAATCTCACTTCCCCATTGATTTTGCTTGTCTGAAGATCACAAAAGTTGATCACATGACCTTGGGACACAGCAACAGTCATAAGTATGAACCAGTTGCCAAGCATCTAAATTTTGATCACATGATCATAGGGATGTTATGACCCAGAGTTGGCACGCAAGCAACACATGCTAGGTGGAAGCTTGACAACTTTTATTCAACCACCATCCCCCACAATCTAGCAATTCCTGGTCCATTCTCCAAGGTCTCTGTCCCGAAGCTACCCTTACAGTCCAAGAGCAAGGCTCAAACACACACGCTTTGTGTAATTTCCCAGGAGAGAAAGTCCATAGGAGCAGCATTGCTCCGGGGGCAAGACAGGCACTCAAACTTGGCAAAGTTCACAATGAATGTCAAAGCAAAAAATCAAACCTCAGTCCAGACCAGCAAGGATTCTGGAGCAAAGCTCTTCTTGGAGGCAGCTGATCCTCGGGAGGAGAGTTGGGGTGCCCTCCTCCCGAGTAATTAGGTCACCCTGCGCTGACTCTACCTCTCCATTCTCCGCACTCAGAGATCGGGTGAGGGAAGCATTTGCTCATCTCTGGAATACTGCCTCTCCTCTGCTCCGCTGCCTGCCCTTTCCATCTCCTCCCCAGCTTCTGGGGCTTGAGGGACCGGGGACTGCCTTGTCCTCATGCCCAGGTTGTTCCTCATGGGCCATAGGGACTGCGCCCTTCTCCTCCATCAGCCCCGGCTCCATCTCCTCCTCCTCCTCAGACCCGGGCTCCGATGATCGTAATTGTGAAAAACAGACTTAACTCACTTTTTCCAGTGCCATTGTACCTTTGAGCGATCACTAAATGAACTGTTGTAAATCAAGGACTGCCTGTATCAACTTAAATCACTGAATACCAGAGAAAAAACTTTTCCTTCTTTGTGCACTGAATTACTGCAGGAACAGATACTTTATGCAGCAGTGTGGACTATTTCAGAGAGATACTGGCAACTAGAACATCACAATTGCTTGATTTTCAATAGATAGTATACTGAATTAGTATGGTTAATGGTTAAGGTGCTGAACTTACTTTCCTTTCCTTAGCCAACCCATGGGACTCACTACGTGCGTATAGTACTGATTTGGTTGCCAAAATAGTGAGAATTGTTTTAATTTTGTAATCACACAATCACAAGTATTAATTTTTAGCTCTCTTGAAAATGACTAAGATCTGAAGAATGCAAATTTGCACTGATAAAAGTTGGAGTCATCAAGTTTTCTAGATTGTGAGATTTGCCTCTTTACTCAAGACACAAGGTTTATCCGCTTGAATAATCGTAAATGCTAGTTTGGCATATATAAAGTGCCTATTACATCTATATGCTACTAAAAATCTCATTCATGCAATGTTTAACAGATGAAACAATGAATCATTGGGCAACAATTTTTGAACCTTAAACGAGTTAATTTACAGAATATGTCCAAAATCTGGGACCCTCGATTCCTGTGGAATTGATTTTGGCAAATTTTATAAAACATTTTATGACATAAACTTATCATAAAAGTTTATAATGTAATACAAAATGCAGTAAAACATTTCTGATATAGAACCATGCTACAATCACAATTGGGACTGAGATTACCATTTAACTGAGAATTACAGTTTGTTAAGGAAGTATCCACAGATTGCTTTCCGGTTTTTCTCTCTATTATTTTTTTCCCCGCTTGAAATTCTGTCTTGAGAAGGATGCCCAAACAGGCTAAATCGCTCCTGTGCCCAAGAAGGGCTCCAAGAAAGCCATCACCAAGATGCAGAAGAAAGGGGACAAGAAGCGCAAGAAGAGCCACAAGGGAATCTACTCTATCTACGTCTACAAGGTGTTGAAGCAGGTCCACCTGACACCGGCATCTCCTCCAATGCCATGAGCATCATGAACTCCTTTGTTAACGACATCTTCGAGCGCACCACAGCCAAGGCTTCCTGCCTGGCTCACTACAAGCGCTCCACCATCACCTCCCGTGAGATCCAGACAGCCATGTACCTCCTCCTGCCGGAGAACTGGCCAAACATGCCGTCTCCGAGGGCACCAAGGCTGTGACTAAGTACACCAGCTCCAAGTAAATGAGCTTGAGATGAAATCTCCTTCGCCAGACCCAAAGGCTCTTTTAAAAGCCACCAATAACAAAATAAAAAGAATTTTTTAAAAAAGGAAGTATCCACCACAATCCAAGTCATTCTGGGCTTGGTCTCTCCCAGCCCTGACCTTTGTAAGTTAAGGGGCTACCACCAACTATCCACACTTGTCTATCTCTTCCGTATTGTTGCCCTTTGGCTGCCTTATCTTAGAGTGGCAAGCAGTCTCAGAACTGTGCAGAACCTGGAAAGCTGAAGTCACCTCAATCCAATTCTGGTCACCTTCCCAGGGTGGATTTGATTTAAATCACGATTTAAATCACTAGTCAGTAAGGCTTGATTTAAATCATAGTTTTCTACATAAAGACTAATTCTTGCTGGTATAACTTTAATATGCAAGTAGATGAAGATTTTTAAAATAACAACTTTTCATATTAGTTTTTTTATCCCGAGTTTAATAGGTTAATCATTCATATTTGGACAACTTTTCTGTTGTACTTAGGAAGGAGAAAAATAATCATTACCTTAATAATAACAATTTAAATAGATTTATTCAACTGAAACAATAACATTACAGCATGTTATTTGCTTAAACAAACATCCATGTTTGTTAACTAATTTGGCTAAACAATATATATATATTTTAAGAAACTTAGACTGTCAGCCCAGCCTACACATGAAAAACTTAAATACTGTCCTCTGTAGCTCACTCGTCATCTTCATCTTCTTCTTTGTTCATAATCTGGAAAAGAAAAACAAGCTTTCCTGCTTTATCGGGTCCCAAACGATTTCTCAATTTAGAATGAATGAGTCCAAAGGAAGAGAATATTCTTTCAACGCCTGCAGAAGAAGCTACTGCTGTTAAAAGTGAAATCATTACTTGAACAGTCTCTAAATCCAAGTGCTTAAGTGACTTACACCAGTTCACTGGTGTGACTTTCTTTAAAATATCTTCAGCAAACATATATTTCTTGAATGGTTCCCCCTTAGCTTTGAAGTTTATTATAGTTGGCATTACAGATGGATGATTGCTGGATACCCATGTCATAGCTAACTCCTCAGCAGTTAAGTTTTGACCCCATACTGGATATTGACAATATTTGCCAAAAAATGAGCTGAAGACAGTACTTGTCCATTCGTTTTTTTAATGCTTGTAATTTAATTCTGTCCATGTGTAGTTCTGTTTTTAAGGGTTCACTCAGTTCCTTCCAAATTTCAACCGCATCAGCAATAAAACAGCTATTTTTCTGTATTTTGTTTAAAGCTTCAGAGATGGGTTTCAGGATGCTCAGCATATGTTCAACATTTCTCTTAAGCCCAACGTTGAGGATTTTGGCCATGACAGTGCCATCTATTTTATCTCGATTTTCTTCACAAACTGTCATCAGAATAGCCCAGTTCTTGATATACTGCTCAAAACAGTCCACCACAGAGTTCCATCTAACATCTTGTGGGAGCGTTAGCTTGGTTCCACCCATCCTTCTCAGAGCTGCTGCAGCAAAATGATTGTTACGGAAGTATTTAGCAATTTCAACAACATTAGTCTTTATTTCTGGAACACTTTAAGTCTTTGGCTAAGAGGTACAGCAAATGAGCACTGCAACCATATGTTATTAACTTTGTATTCCCTTCCTGCTCTTCTAAATTTCTTCTCATCTTGGATACATTTGCAGCATTGTCTGTGACCAAACTGCGTTAGACATTTGAATTTTTGTTCACGTTATTATAGCTTTTACTGCCACTTCTTTTAAGTATTCTGCTGTGTGTGCATTTCCTGGCGTATCAATTGTTTGTGCAAGGAAGACTTTGCCTTCTTCTGTTGTTATACAAGCACATACAATAGGATCATTGTGGACATTACTCCATCCATCAATACTTAGGTTAACAATTCTACCCTCCAGAGCTGTTGCACATTGCTACATTTGTCTGTGATCACTTTATCCATCAGTTTCCCTGCAATATCTGCTCTGCTGGGTGGACTGTATCCTGGTCTCAGTGACTGAACCATATTAATGAAATGTGGGTTCTCAGTCAGACGGAAAGAAGAGCTCGTTGCATAAACAAACTGGGCATTTTTTTCATCAATTAACTCTTTTTCTAATCTGCTAGTTTTTATTACAAACTTATCTATGGTGGTTCCAGGAGGGAAGAGTTTTGTCTTTCTTTTAGGTGATAGTGATATGTGGCTGTGGGTGTCTGATGATGATGATACTAATGAAGCACTATCCTGGATGGATAACTCTGAAACTGTAGAACAGAAGGATGGTGATCTTGAAGGTGGATAGTTTCCAGAATCCATGAATTCCCCTAAACAAAAAAGTCAATGCTGTTATTTTATTGTTTATACAATTTCTGCTTATTGTACACAGCACTGCCCCAAAAGGAATATTTGCTTTTCTTCATAACTGTACCAAATGACAGTAACATGCAGTAATAATAAGAAATATAATTTTGCTCAAACATGACAGTTCAAGGCAGTCTTTAGAAATACAATTCAATAAAAATGTTTACCAACCTGAAGATCCTGCCTGTTCAAATGTGTTTCTTTGGTCATCTTCATCACAGCACTTCTCATGATGTTGCCTCATTCGGGCCACCAGGCCTTGCATTTCTTTGTTGCAGTGTTTGCAGTTTGCACGCATGCCTGCCTTACCAATAGGTAAAGGAACTTCATTAAAATATTGCCAAACTGGGTCTCTTTTACGGCCTGCTGCCATTATAGGTTTTTTCCTCCAAGGAAAGAATGTGATAAACCTCAGGTGATACACACAAAAAGATCCAAAGACTTGTCTGTCTGTGGTTGTGCGGTATTGTGCTCAGAAAGTTTCACTTTCATTTTGTACTGCTTGTCTGCTTGCCCCTTCCTCCTCACACTTAATTTCACTTTCTTCTTGTGCAGATCTATTCCACTCCAAACAATCAGAAAAATATTGTTTCTATTCTATTCACTGAACTTCTTGAAACTTAGCACTGAAGGGGTTGATTCTGTATTCATAGGTTTGTAGAACAATAGGATTAAGGTCTTTTTCTCAACTCTGTTCATGTTATAACATTTTTGCTGTGAAGAAGAGGCATGTGATCTCTGCTGAGTCAAATTCAGTTTTGAGAACTGCAAAAGTAAACCAAGTATCTGTGATAATATCTTGTAGGCAGAGAAACTGCCCAATAATCTTACAAAAACCTCTGGAAGAGCATGACATTGTGAATGGATTGAAGGGAAACAATAATAAGGATATAATAAATAATACTAGAATATGATATACTGGTATACTAGATTCTGTAACCATTAGGTTCCTGTAATACATATATGCCTTTGTATTTGTATCACATATATTATGCCTTTATATTTGCATCTCCTGTAACAAACATATTCTGTTATTACGCCTTTGTAATGTATCTGGTATTTGTCAAACGTATGTCCCTGCCATTTGACCTGAACTCATATCAATCTTCTTTCTGTGCTATCTAAGAGCATGGTACCTATCAACAAAGGGATAATTTACACCTCAGCCTTAATTTATGTTTGATCTGGATAAACTAGTCTTCCAGAGCCAGGGGGGCTAAGTGGCCAATTGAATAAACAAAGAAATGCTCAAGATAAAACTAATTGGGAAGTTTCTATTCCCCCTTGCAGGGCAACAAGGAATACACAAACCTAAATTAGGAGGCCAGAATTGGGTACTAAGCTGATGTCTCTGAGGGTATAAAAGGACGCCATACCTTCCCCAAGGTGTGGCTATTTCCTCGCATGCATTGTATCTGTATGTTCTGGATATAGTTCCACCCAGTATTTTGTTTTTGGCCATAAATAAAAGCTATTTTTTTGCAAGCTTCGTCTTGAGTCTCTCTCTCTTTGGCATTCTGGTGACTCAAGTGTATTTTGGGACCTTACAGATTAATGGAATTTATTTACCAAAAAAATTAAACATATACAGCCTTATTCTACATAATTAAAAAACTAATCTTTATTTCATGATGGAATAACCTTTGGATGGTATTTTCCTCAAAAAGCATTTTATTTAAAAAAATCTGATTTAAATCAAAAAAATCTGATTTTTTTGATTTTTTTAAAAAAATCATTGATTTTTATCCACCCTGCACCCTCCCCATCCAGGACCCCCACCGTCCTGTTGTCCCAGCTTACCTTTTCTGCCTTTTTGCTTCTGCTGCCGATGAGATATGCCCAGTATGACTACTTGGGCACATAGGCCTGGCTTCACATGGCAAAAACTGTGAATGCACTGTGCTCCTGTTTGGGGCTGACTATGCATTGTGAAAGAGAAAAAGAGCAAAAGATAGAGAAACCCAGACAAAGCAGCTTAAAGGGGTTTTCCATTTTTCGCCATGTGAAGCCAGCTCCAAATGGGCCAGGAACACAGCACAAACAGGGGACTGGTACCCTACAGATTCTTTAAGCTACTTTGTGCGTTTTTTTTCTCTCCCAGCCCCATAAGGACCTTCAGGTAGACTGAGCCAGCTGTAATGGAATGTCTGAATGACCTTAAGAACAGTGGAGAAGAGGGGCTTCCTAGGAAACATCTCTTTTCCCCTTTCTCAAGATCATTTATGCATTTCATTAAACCAGCCTCCTCAGCAAAAGCAAAAAGATAGAAGCAAAGGTGAGCTGGGCAGCAGGACGCCAAAAGGCAATAGATGAGAAGATAGGTGGGTGGAGGGAGTTTCAGCATACTTATGCTTATAAACGTAGCAGGCTTCCAAGCACCTGGATTTTGATCATATGATTGTGGGGGCACTGCAACAGTTGTAACTTAGTCCCTTCATTCAGTGCTATTTTAATGTCAAAAGTTGCTGAACAAATGCCATAAATTGAGAACTACCTGTAATCTACATACATTACATTCATAAGTAAGATTAACAAGAAACAACAAAATCATACATCTGTTCACACATCAAAAATCAATAAAATCTCTATTAAACAAATAACTTACTACAAAAGAAAATACCATAATCTTCTAACATATCCACTCCATGTCTTGTTGAAATAATCACTTTTTTATATTCTTCATAAATTCCAATATATGTAGATCCATACAGAACTTGGGAAAATGCAGTCTAAAGGAGACAGCAATTGAGAAAGCCCACTCAGTAGTCCTCTAAGAAATCTAAACAGAGCCCATTCTTGCTGATCATATGCAGTTGTAGTTCCCAATCCTTCAGATCTCAAGAACAGTGCCAAAGATATCTATTAAATACTGGACAGAATTCAGAACATACATTTCTAATGAGGTTTCTAACAGAAATACAAAATAAATTGTAATTAGTATGCTTAGCACTGGAATAGCTGAGGATCACAATAAAACATACATGACATCACTCCCTTATGTATTTACATTAAATACAAGAATACAAGTATTTAAGAGAGGTGTCTCTATGGTGACATAATTCTATGTTAATTTTGGCATAATCACTTTTTGCTTGTCCTCTATTAACCATGGCAATTGGGATTGGAACCAGCTTCCCCACTGACTTTGTTTATCTGAAGCTGGCAAAGAAGTGACTATAGGACATTGCAATGTTTTAATTGAGATCCAGGCACCAATTTGTTCTGACAAAGGCAAAACTAAAGTGCTTGGATTTATAAACCATTTCTTTCCTAATAAATTCAAATAAGCATCTAACAATCTATTATTTAAAATGATTATCAATTACAATAATGTTTGGTTTTTAAAATATGAGATGTTTTTATCTCTAAGAGCTAATATATTTACAATCACAACAGTGATAAAACTGAATCTATAAAGGAAATTATTCTCAGACAAATCATTTTCCTATAAGACGACTTTTCCATTATACCTGCTTATATAGTATAATAATAAATCAAACCAACTGCACCTCCTCCTCTGGTCACCGATGACACCAATTTGACAACATTTAAAAAAGTGGTGGAGCGTATGCTTTAAACTTACAATAGTTCTAATGAAATCATATTATATTTGTGCCCAATCAGCTGCACATTGCTGCTATAAATAGGGGTAGTTGAATTTTGATTACAACTTATGATGCTTCCACTTAATATTTCAAAGATCAAGAAGGAACATAAGGTCAATTACACTGATCTCATGATATTTTTTTAAAAAATGTACAAATGTAGCATCATGCCTCAATGATTATTTCATAAGAATCAAACAGATTCTGTAAAATATCCTGTCAGATACTTTTCTGCATAGATTGAAGAAAACACTCACTACATTGATCAATCAAGTGTAGTAATATTACATTTATAAAGTTCTCTTAACAATTAGAATCCTGTTTTACTGGGTATTGCGTTTTACAAACTATTTTGTTAGTATTTGTTCTAAAAAGAACAAGAATGTTTCCAATTTTATCTATATCAAACCATAACAAACTTAAGATTCCTTTCTTTGCATTTACCGCCCATTTCTCTTGATAATGTTTTTTTAACTTGTTATCTAAAAGTTTCAAAAAAAAAGACAACATTAGCAATTAAATGACAGTACCAATTATCTTTTTCAAGATGAATATTTTGATTTACATTATCTTAACTATTGCACATTATTTGTAATTCAGAATAAAACTATTACCAATTCTATCTCTGTACTTAATAATTTTGTATTTAATCTGTTGAGCAGAGTTGTTAAGCTTATTGCAGATTTCACACTCCAAAAATGTGAATGACAAACTGTTCTTTTCACCATTTAAAAACATGGCTAATAAGGACAAAGAAAGACCTCACACATACTGAATTGGAAGGAGCAGCTTTACAAAGTCCTGTTGTGGTCAGTAAATTAAAAACAAGCCCCTTATCTGAGGCAGATAAAAAAAAAAGTGGCAAAGCTGAGAGCAGATCTGATGTTGCCCATACCCCAGGAGGATTTTATTTTCACTATCGAGGCCGGGAGGGGGACATTTTAGTTATTAGTAAATAAATCAAGCAGCAGAGAGCAAGGCCTAAACGCCTGCCAAAGGAGTCCGGGCCTAGCTTTCTTCCCTCCCTTCCACACAGCCTGGGATTGATCTCAGGGCCCTATTCGTTTGCCAAGAAAACGTAAAAAGGCAAGAGAGCGAGAAAGAAGAATCATATTGAACCACAAAAGCACATGGGGCGAATGTAAAATATAAACACGGCATTGGGCTCTGAGTGGCTGTTATTAAAGGCCTGAATTACTAAACATGAGAGGCGGGGAAAGTCGGGCGGCCATTTCAATAATATAAACCTCCCCGAATTAGACATTATTCAAATGAGAACGACAGAGGGAGGGGGGGTTTGAAGAGGAAAGAATTTAAAAAGAGAGGCGCATTCAACCTGTCACCCCAGAACCCCTGACCTTGCCAAGAAACACATGGGAAGTGGGGAAGCATTGTTGACCGCTCCCTCTCTAAGTCTCCCCCCACCCGCTGCCCACAAACCAAGAAACACCCCCCCCTCCACGCTCTCCCTCCATCTCTCAGAGGAAAGATTGGCAGGCCAAGCCAAGTCCTGTCGGGCAAGCGGACAAAACCGACCCACTGCATTTCCTAAGCGGAGCCCTACCTCCTCCCAAGAAAGGAGGTTAGATGCACCCCCATATACACTTTACTTGATGGAGAGCAAATCCCTGTCGAGCAGCCGGCGCGCGCCTTTCGAGGTTTGTCTTAGGCCAAAGATGCCCACCCCGAGGGCAACCCCAAACTCCCCTCGGCGCGTAGGCCTTGGCCTCTGGGGAAATTAGGCTGCCTGCGGGAGAAGGACAAGCGGCTTGCAGGAGAGACGTTTTTCCTTTTCCCCTTTTTTTAAAAGCACTTTTCTCTGCCTTTCCCCCAAGCCAGCGCGACCTCTGAGGGGACGCGGACGCAGATGCATTTGGGTCCCCCCAAAGACTGGATGCGGCAAGGTTGAGCGCCCTCCTGTTGGCTCTTCTCTACACGTCCCCCTCCTCCGGCCGTTGCTGCGCCGCCCCCCTTGTCTGAGCCTACTATTATACAGTAGATGAATATGCAAAGCAGCTTTGGGTAGCGGCGGCAACGGTCGGCCTAGCTCTCCGAGTTGGGCTCCAGGAGCGAGGGTGGGGGATCCTGTCCGTTGCCCCCCCGCGCCCGCGCGCGCGTGTGTATGTCTATGCGTGCCTTGTGTCTCTTGTGTCTGCACGGCGGCTACCCCCCCCCAGCTCCCTCCTGTGCCGTTAATTATAATAATTCTGAGTACTAATAAATTATGCTAAGCGAGGAAGGCGGGCGGCGGGGGGGGCGCGTGTACGAGTATGAATATGAATATGTAAAATGCAGTAATGATTACCTGCCGCCACCGCCGCCGCCGAACTCTCATCTTGACTCGCTGCTCCTCCGTCCGCCATTTTGAATATTTTAATCAAAATCGGCCGCCCGATAAACCCTCCCTTGCTTGTTTGCTCCTTGGCTGCCCCCTCCCTGCTCGCATTCCTTTTTGCGCAGGCGCCGACTGGATGCCTCTGTCCCTCTCCCTTTTTTCCTGACGCGGCCGGTGCGCATCACCACCTCTCTCCACCACTACCACCCCCCCCCCGCCCCGCCGCCGCCGCTCCGTCACCCCCGCGCCTCCCGGCTCCGTTTGCTGGACGAAATCGAGACGTCCGCTATGCGCGTGAGGGCGAGTGGGCGGAATATGGGATGGCCCCGCGGACCGAAGTAAATCCAACCAGCTACAAAGCGACTTTTTCTGCCTGTTTTGCGACTCTACTCAAAGCCGTAAGAGACGCAAAGGGAAGCCAGTTAAGTGAACTCCAGGAAAACTTTATTCAAATTACAAATACGCTCTGCTCTTGTTGAATCGCGGAAGGTGCTCACTTGTCCCTATGCACCAGCTTTAGTTTTGTATTGAGTTCTTCCTGACCTCACAACTTCCACATTGCCTGAGCACAGAGCCCCCCAGCTGTAGGGAATTCTTAGTTATTGCAATTTTCCTCCCACGTGCCTTATGCTACCGCTGGGTCAACATTATTTCGGGTTAACTTGTTCCTTTTGGCATTTGAATCTAAGCATTCCAATCCTTTCCATATTTTATTCAGATGTAACCCCTGTACATTATTTGGAAATTCATTCTCACCACTTTCAATTTAATGTAGAAATTTCAGTTATATATTTCTATTATATTTCAGTTTTCCCAATTCTTTACAAATTGCATGCAAAATAAAACAATACCACGCCGAAGTTCAGAATCACAAAACTGTTGTCAGAAAAATAAACAATATAAAGAGTTACAAAATGTCAATCACCAAAAACATTGTGCAACATACTGCTGATCCCTGTTCTGCCTCAGGAGGCTAGGATATAGTCTGAATGTAAAGAAATGGCTGAGGAAAATCATGGCCATAATTCCTTTGCTCCATTTCTCCTTCCACCTGTCAGTGGGAAAAGCATTACCTTTAATGGGGGACAGGCTGGAGGGGGAGGCAGATTTTGACAGATGATTAGTAGCTTTAATTTATCTGTCAAACCATGCTTTCATTTGGGCACATGTTTTTCACATGTTTAAAGTTAGGCCATATATCTTAGAACAGATTATAAGTAGCCTGAGAAGCAACTGAGAAGAAACATTGGATGGTGTGGGAAAAGATTACCTGGTAAATTTCAACCTCAAAAAAGCTGCAGCCCCTTTTGAAAAACCAAACACTGATATATTGACAAATCATATGAACAGTACATGAGGTGTGGGTGAAGAGTCGAGTGGGTCTCCTCTGCATTTAAGCATATATTTACTCTTTTTGCTTATTCTCTGGAGTTTAAAGTGTTGGAGAGTGAAGGAGTTCACTAGTGGATTTTAATGTGGAGGCAAAAAAATTTAGAGATTTAAATATTTTCCTGCCTAGTATACGAGAATAAGCAATTGAGGGAGTGAGGTTGACTGGGAACAGAATTATTTGTTCACTAAATTAGATACTGCACCTCAAAGTCAAATTCCACTTTGCTAATGTGTACACACATATATCCAAGACACCATCACCCCTTTTAAAGAATGGTATTCCCAGGTTGTGTGGAATATATGTAATAACCAACAAACACTTAGAAAACACCAATCAGGCAAGGCATTGTACATAAGCCAGGTGTCCAGTCTCTCCAGCAGCCCAACCTGAAATGCC